CCCTAACCACGTTCCATAGGATAATCCTATCAGCGCCGTCTGACGAGAACTCGCATTCTTGGGCTCATCTTGGGCCTGTTCTGGGTTTGTCTGGAGCTGTCCGGGGCGCCACTTCGGCAGTCTTGGGGCCGTCTTGGCCCGTCTTGGGGCCGTCTTGGGGGCCCCTTGGGCGGTCTTGGAGCGGGGAAGTGGGGGCGGTCTTAGGGCGGTCTTGGGGGCCTATTGGGGCGGTCTTGGGGGCCTCTTCGGCCGTCTTGGAGCGTTGGAAGCATGAAATGGTGAGAAGGCCAAAAACCCTGAAACAAAAACAATGAAAATTAACGATTTGAGATTCTCCGGGCGCTCTCGGGAGGCCTCTCGGAGCTCTCTTGAGGTCTCTTGGATGCTTCCTGGGAGCCTAGAGAGCCGCCCGAAAGCTATCCTGGATTGCTTGGGAGCATTTTGGGCCTTTCTTACGTTCTGGGGGCTTCTTGGGGTCTTCTTGGGCTGTCTTTGGGCATTGGGGGGGCTCCCCGGGAGGCTGGGAAGCGCGGTACCGGGAGCGTGCTCGAGATGTGAGCCCGGTGGAGGACGCTCCGGCAGGGAGCCCGTCGTATTTTTTTTTTCATTCTCAATGTATACACGCAGCGCAGTGTCAACAGCACAGTGTCAGAGATTAGCAGCGCAATGCATCTCCTCTCAATACCAACAGCTCCTCATAATGCCAACACCAGCGCAGTGTCACAGATTAGAAGCGTACAGTCTCTCCTCTTAATGCCAACAACGTAGTGTCAACAGCGTAGTGTGAATCCAATGGGCGCTACGTAGTGTCAACAGCGTAGTGTTAATTCACTCGGCGTTACGTAGTGTCAACAGCGTATTGTTAATTCACTGCTAACCTCATTAATTTACTATTAACGGATCCCTTGGGTACCGTACCACTTGCAGATGTGATCGAAAATTCCAAGCCAACGAAAATCCCTGAAAGATCCCTTCTGAGACTTCCTCACCACTTATGACTCCGAAGCTTAAGATATAGCAAACGTTTCACGGATTGAGGGCGGGTCGTTTTCAATATGTGGCTCTCGCATTGGTGCCGCGCTCCAAGAGGCCTCAGCGAGAATGCCAAAATCACTGATGTTACTGAGGTGCTGGCCACATGTTGGCCTCCTGGGGGGGGGCACTACCTAAGATGACTCTAAGAGCACCTGGGAGAGCCCAAAATGCCTTCCAAGATGGCTCAAGATATCCCAAAATGCCTCAAGATGGCTCCCAAGATGCTCCAAGAGGCCCCAAGCCCACTCCAAAACGGCTCCAAGTGGCCAAAGAGCTCCGCCAGGAGGCCCCGAAGAGGTCAAAATCCGTCCAAAACTTTCGGGGAATCAATGTTTGTGGCTTTCTCGCCTTTTCGATTCCGATGGCCATCCGAGGCCTCAAGATGGCCCAAGAGGGCTCCAAGAGAGGCTCAAGAGAGCCCCAAGACGGCGCCAAGAGCGCCCAATAGCGCTCCAAGAGCGCCCCGAGAGCGCCCCAAGAGGCGACTTTTTGGGCTCCCGAGAGGCAACGCCAATTAATGAGACAAGTCCTCTGGGCGTCGTTTCTGGATGGGCTAGTGGGGCTACGCGAAGCGTCTAGAAGTTCTGCATGGGGACATCGATGCTATCTCCTTCCCAACCGATAGCCTCACCAACTGTTCTTCACGAGTGCTGAGTGTAACTGATAACTCTCATAAGGTCTCGCACGCGAACCCGATTGCGGAAAAAAACGCCTGGCAGGGAGCTGACCAGGTCTTCAAACTGGTGCGAGTTTAACCGATAACTCTCATAAAGTCTCGCATGCTTCCCCGATTGCGGGAAAACGCCTGGCGGGGAGCTGAGCAGGTCTTCAAAACTGGTAAGAGTTTAACCGATAACTCTCAGAAGGTCTCGCATGCTTCCCCGATTGCGGAAAAACGCCTGGCGGGGAGCTGACCAGGTCTTCATGCGGAAGGAGGAGGGCAGGCAGGAAGGCGCTGCCCAACGTGTCAAGCCTTGGGGTCCCCTTCCTCCTCCGAATCCGCCATGCGGACCCTCCGCTGGGGCCTTCGGTGGAGCACCCTATGGGGCCAGGAACTGTGTGAGAGGTAAGCCGAACTGGGTCCGAGTCCGCCATGCGGAGCCCCCCGCCGGGGCCTTGGGTGACGCACCCTACGGGGTCAGGAAACGTGTGAGGGTGTGCCGAACTGGGTCCGAGTCCGCCATGCGGACCCTCCCGCTGAGGCCTTCGGTGGAGCTCCCTATGGGGCCAGGAACCGTGTGAGGGGTGTGTCGAACTGAGTCCGAGTCCGCCATGCGGACCCTCCCGCTGAGGCCTTCGGTGGAGCTCCCTATGGGGCCGGGAACCGTGTGAGGGGTGTGCCGAACTGGGCCCGAGTCCGCCATGCGGACCCTCCCGCTGAGGCCTTCGGTGGAGCTCCCTATGGGGCCAGGAACCGTGTGAGGGGTGTGCCGAACTGGGCCCGAGTCCGCCATGCGGACCCTCCCGCTGAGGCCTTCGGTGGAGCTCCCTATGGGGCCAGCAACCGTGTGAGGGTATGCCGAACTGGGCCCGAGTCCGCCGCCCGCTGGGGCCTTCGGTGGAGCTCCATATGGGAACCCAAGAGAGCGGAGGGGAAGGAGGAGGAGGAGGAGGAGGAGGGGGAGGGGGAGGAGACGAGGAGACGAGACGCCTCAGCGACAGACTCCACAGGCTGCGCCTCATAGATGCTGCGCGAATGATTACCCACCAGACCACCTCAACTCAACACGAAGACCCGAATTTCGGGTTGGGGAGGGTACGAGTTCCATGTGGTTTCTTCCCATCCTAAGTGGGGTTCTTGTTTTCTCTGCACACCCTCCGCGCAGGATCTCTCCTCCTCCTCCTCCTCCCTCTCCTCTGCTCCTCTTTGCTTCCTCCTCCGCATCATCATCACCATCACCATCACTCCCCACTCATCATCATCATCATCATCATCATCATCATCATCACCATCGCACGATCACTCACCATCATCGGCATCGAACGATCATCATCATCATCATCATCATCATCATCATCATCATCATCATCATCATCATCATCATCATCATCATCATCATCATCACTACTCGCTGACTTGAGGCCTGAATATGGAGGAAGTATCAGGCGGGAGCCTCGTCTGTGAGTGGATTGTGAGGAAGTCTCAGGCGGGAGCCCCCTCCCTATGGGGCCAGCACTTCATGTTCGAATCCGAGCGGGTCATCCGCAACGTGCAACTGTCGTCACTTTTGGGCTCTTGAGGCCTGAATATGGAGGAAGTATCAGGCGGGAGCCTCGTCTGTGAGTGAATTGTGAGGAAGTCTCAGGCGGGAGCCCCCTCCCTATGGGGCCAACACTTCATGTTCGAATCCGAGCGGGTCATCCGCAACGTGCAACTGTCGTCACTTTTGGGCTCCTGAGACCTGAAAATGGACGAAGTCTCGAGCGGGAGCCTCGTCTGTGAGTGAATTGTGAGGAAGTCTCAGGCGGGAGCCCCCTCCCTATGGGGCCCGAACTTCATGTTCGAATCCGAGCGGGCCATCCGCAACGTGTAACTGTCGTCACTGTGGGGCTCTTGAGGCCTGAATATGGAGGAAGTATCAGGCGGGAGCTTCGTCAGTGAGTGAATTGTAAGGAAGTCTCAGGCGGGAACCCCCTCCCTAAGGGGCCCGCACTTCATGTTCGAATCCGAGCGGGTCATCCGCATCCGCAACGTGTAACTGTCGTCACTTTTGAGCTCTTGAGGCCTGAATATGGAGGAAGTATCAGGCGGGAGCCTTGTCTGTGAGTGAATTGTGAGGAAGTCTCAAGCGGGAGCCCCCTCCCTATGGGGCCCGCACTTCATGTTCGAATCCGAGCGGGTCATCCGCAACGTGCAACTGTCGTCACTTTTGGGCTCTTGAGACCTGAATATGGAGGAAGTCTCGAGCGGGAGCCTCGTCTGTGAGTGAATTGTGAGGAAGTCTCAGGCGGGACCCCCCTCCCTATGGGGCCCGCGCTTCATGTTCGAATCCGAGCGGGTCATCCGCAACGCGCAACTGTCGTCACTTTTGGGCTCCTGAGACTTGAAAATGGAGGAAGTCTCGAGCGGGAGTCTACGGCCCAGCCCGAAGGTTTGTCCCGACGGCTTCGCGATCTAGCCGTCGGCAGACGCGCGCGCGCTGGCCGAGGCGGCGACGGCGCTGAGGAAAATGGATTTGCTTGCCCCGACGAGGGGGAAGGGGAGGTGCACATGGAGAAAAGGCAGGGGGATGAGGAGGGAAGGGGCATGGGGGAGGCCGACGACGAGGAGGAGGTGGCGCGAGAGGAGGAGGAGGAGGAGGAGGAGGAGGAGGAGGAGGAGGAGGAGGAGGAGGAGGAGGAGGAGGAGAAAGAGGAGGAGGAAGAGAAATAGAAGGGGAAGAGAGGGCAGTGCAGGGGGCGAGAGGAGAGGGTGTCCGCCAGGGGGAGGAGGAAAGGGCAAAGGGTAAGCTAAACAGATTCTCATGTGGGGTCCTACCGTCGGAGTAATTCATGTTCCCCGACATCCCCCCCCACAGGAATTGGAAGGCACATTGAAATTGATATGAACCAAACCGATACGGAGACTCGCATGTAGCATCTGCCTGCTCATTGCACTTCGATGTAAACGACAGGTTTCTCCAACATGCGACCAAATCACTGTCTGTGTTCATAGGAACACCCTTGCTCGGCAGGAAGTTGAATCCATCTGAACTCTTGATATGAAACTTCACTTCGTCGGAGTTCCTGCGATCGTGCAAGATCAGACTAGGCGCTGCGACAGCGCATATTCCACCGCCACACTCCCAGGATAGACATGAAGGCTGTTGGTGGCTTGGTGAATAGTGAGTGTAGCGGGCGGGAGGGGGAGGACGTGCGGGCGGGCAAAACACAACCCGCAGCCGCCAAGAGACGACGGCGCGGGCACCGCCGCTGCGCCGTCCGTCTCGCCGCGGCAGACGCGAACGGAGCCTGCGGCTCCCGAGGGCGTGCCGCTTGGAGAGCGGACGCGGCGGCGATGCTGGCACCGAGGCCCTCGAAGAAGGATAGACAGGCGCGCTCCACGACTCGCAGAGCACCTGCTCGCAAATGGCCCGGGCCCGCCGGGCGGGATCTACGATCGGGGATGGACAGAGCCCCCTTTAGCAAAACGGGGTCTAGTGAAAACGACCTCGGGCCCAAACCTGGCGGGCGCAAGCCTAGAAAATGACGGCCGCGGCGCCCTCTCGAGAACCGAAAAGGGACAACTCACCAGTCGACCTGTCAGGGTGGGGGCTCTGTCCACCCCCGAAGTACAGATGCATGGAGGAAGCCATGTTCTTCTCGGACGTCGGCGAGGAGGCGCCCTGCGAGTAGCGGAGCGCGCTCGGTGACAGGAGCGCGCTTCTCTATTCTTGGCGATAATGATCGTTGCAGAGGGGGGGCGGGGGGACATGATGAAACGACCCCCCCCGCCGTGCGGCTCCGGCACCACAGCCGCGCCCGCGCGCACGACGACGATGACCGACGAGCGACGAGCGACGAGCGACGAGCGGCGACGACGCGAGCAGCATGTAGGTGGCGACCTGCCCAGAGGCTCGGTGACAGCAGGAGGTCAGGGTCGGAGGTCCCCGAGCCGCAGCTCCAGCGGCCGGCGCGCCGCGGGCCAGTCCGCTGCCCCCGCTGCAGACTTGGAGGAGGACGGCGCGGGCGGCCGCGCCGCGCAGCGGCGCGGGCCACGCTGCTGCCTCCGCTCCACCGGCTACACGCTACGATTCTCGCGCGTGCCGGCCTGGATGACTCTCACACGCCCCATCCCGTGCTCGAAGGAGGAGACGGCGAGGGGGACTGGGAAAAGGAGGAGGAGGGGAGGAGGAGGAGGAGGAGGAGGAGGAGGAGGAGGAGGAGGAGGAGGAGGAGGAGGAGGAGAGGAGGAGGAGGAGGGGGAGGAGAGGAGGAGGAGCAGGAGGACGAGGGCGAGGGGGACGGGGAAAAGGAGGAGAACCAGGAGGCACCGCGGGCACGTGGGCTTGTCGAGGCCTCCTGGGGACGGGGGCCTCCGGGGGCCTCTCGGGAGCCTCGTAGGGGACTGCCGGGGGGTCTCTTGGGAGCTCCGGAGCCGACCTGGGGCTCTCTCGGCCCGTCTGACGCCTTCGGAGGTGTGTAGGGGGGCCTCTCGGGGCCGCCTTTTGGGCCTCTGGCGCCGTCTTGGGAACCTCTTGGCCCGTTTCGGAGCCCCCTGGGGAACATCCTGGATCGTGTGGGGATCATATTGGAGGCCTCTGGGGCCGTCATGGTGGGCTGTCGGAAATCCGAAAAGGCGAGAAAGCGAAGGCGAAGAGGAGCAAGCGGGAGCGCAACCTTGCGAGGAATTGGAGGAAGAGAAAAAGCACACGAAGCTCCGCGGTAGACTGCACGAGTGCCTGCCTTCGAATGCCAGCCCACCGCTGGAGCGCTGCAGGTGAGGAAATGAGCTGGACGAGTCCCAGTCGTCAAAAAGCTATAATGGCGGCGCTGTGGGCGCGCGTCCACCGCGTCCTCCGAAGCACGAGCCTCTGGAACAGTATACAGTGGAGGCCTGGCCACAAGAAACCTCCCACAAAAAACCCAACCCTGAAACTCCAGGACGTCCATTGATCTTTGGCGCGGGAACGCCGCGCTTCCCATCGCAAAACCATCGAAACCCAAGAAACCCAGGGCACCCTGGAGGCAAGCAGGGTGTCTCTTGGCGTGGGCCTCCACTGTATGATGGCGGCGCTGTGTGCGCGCGTCCACCGCGTCCTCCGATGCACGAGCCTCCGGAACAATATTGTAAACTCAACCACACAAATATTTCTATCCGCCACCTTGGCTTGAGGCACAAAATGGAGTCCTCCAAAATGGGGCCGGAGCAGATGGGGTCGGAGGATCGCGCCGCATCCCCCGATGCACCGGCGAGGTCGGCGGTGCATCGGCGCCGCCTGCGTGGAGGAAATCGGCTCCGCATCGAGTCGCACCGCCGATGCATCGGCGGTGCGGCGCGGTCATCCGAACCCATCTACTCTGGCCCCATCTGGGAGGCCTAGAACGAAGCGGCGAGTCCTCAAGTCTGCTCGGATCCCTGTTTGGAAACATGTCCGGGGCCCATGGCCTGGATTCCCAGGCGCTGCCAGGGTGCCCCGCGTCGTGGCTTTTCGAGAAGACCCACAGAACCGCCTTTCGCTCGAGACCCCCTCGAACAGCTGCTCACGAAGGTAGTACCATAGTGCCTCAGAGGCCAGTCCCTGGCAAATTACGTCGGATTCGCGGTCCTGAGGCCACAGTCCTTCGTAGATTACGCCGCCATCGGGCTCCCGAAGCCAGTCCTGTTGTAGAAAATGACCGCGCTCCCGAGGCCGCTACCACCCGTAAATTCCAAGAAGCCGCCAAAACGGCCCCAAGACGGTCCCACAGACCTCCAAGATGGCCCTAAAGTGCCCAAAGAGGGGCCCACGACTGCCCAGAGAGGGCCCAAAGGCGGTCTCCATAGGCTAAAAGGTCCCGTAGAAGCCCCCAGGAACTACTAAGAGGGCCCAAGAGGCCCCTGGAGGCCCCCAGGAGAGGATGCCGTCAACAGGCCCCTCAGAGGCTCCCAGGAGACTTCCAGGAACCCCCCAGAAGGCCCTCAAGAGGCATCTTCTTCTATTATTATTGTAATTATTCTTCTTCACAATCATCAGCAGTATCATCATCGTCGTGATCAGCATCATCATCATCATCATCATCATCATCATCATCATCATCATCATCATCATCATCATCATCATCATCATCATCATCATCATCATCATCATCATCATCATCAGCATCATCATCATCATCATCATCATCATCAGCATCACATCATCAGCATCATCATCATCATCATCATCATCATCGTCATCGTCATCATCATCATCATCATCATCATCATCATCATCATCATCATCATCATCATCATCATCATCATCATCATCATCGTCATCATCATCATCATCGTCATCATCAGCTTCATCATCATTTTCCTCCTCCTCCTCTTCCTTCTCCAGCTTGTCCTCCTAGTAATCCTTTTCCCCCTCCTCCTGCTTCCTCTTCATCTCCGATTGCTCCCCAAAGGGTTTCCACAACGGCTGGGGGGAACACACAATCCAATAACTTGGCCAAGCTTCGGCCCACCGTTTGGCTGTGTGGGCGTTTCGGGCAGGGGCGGCGGCGATTCGCCGTACAGTGGGGGCCCGACCACAAGAAACCGTCCACAAGAAACCCAACCCTGAGACCCCAGGACGTCCATCGAGTTTTGGTGGGAACGCCACGCTATCCATCGCAAAACCATCGAAACTTTAAAAACCCAGGGCACCCTGGAGGCAAGCAGGGTGTTTCTTGGTTTTCCACCGTAGGCGTCTTCGATCCGTCGCCCCCTGTGCTCGCCAAAAGGGGTGCCCGGCATGCCAGACGTTACAGTGGAAACCCATGCCAAAAAACACCCTGCTTACCTTCAGGGTGCCCTGGGTTTCTTGGGTTTCGATGGCTTTACTTTGAAAAGCGCGACGCTCCCGCACCAAAAATCAATGGACGTCCTGGGGTCTCAGGGTTGGGTTTCTTGTGGACGGCTTCTTGTGGTCGGGCCCCCCACTGTAGGTGGTGTTTATTCTCTTGCACAGCTGTGCTCTAGAGCTCGGACATCTTTATTTTCGTGTCGTTCGTCGTTCGTGTCGTTCGTCCCCCTGGCCCTGGTCGCCCCCTGGCCCTGGCCCTCACCCCCCCCTGCCCCGCGTCCAGGCATCCCAGGGCAGCCCGTCCAGGCTTCCCAGGGCAGCCCCCCTAGGCCACGGAACCCTTTATTTTCGTGTCGTTCGTCGTTCGTGTCGTTCGTCCCCCTGGCCCTGGTCGTCCCCCTGGCCCTGGCCCGCACCCCCCCCTGCCTCCCATCCAGTCCAGCCTTCCCAGAGCAGCCCGTCCAGGCTTCCCAGGGCAGCCCCCCTGGGCCACGGAACCTTTTATTTTCCCCCTCGCCCCCCCCCCTCGCCCAGGCTTCCCAGGGCAGCCCCCCTGAGCCTCGGACACCTTTGTGCAAGAGCCAGGGCACGCGTGCCACTTGTTTTGATGTTGGCGGTGGGGACTCGGGCCGATCGCGCAGGCCACGCGAAGAGGCCTGCAGGGATCCCGGCGTCCACGCAGAGCCCCCCCGAGAAGACCAGGACTACGTCGGGCATGTCCTCCTACACCCTGCGAAGTGCTTTAGAAATCATGGGTTAAGAAATTCACAGTCTCAGAATTTGAGATCAAACCCAGAAGGTCTATTCAGATGTTAGGTTTTACATCGAAACATTAAGAATAATCGAGACTCTGGCCGAAAACTTGGGTTTTCTTAAGCATCGCCTGGAGTGTACAGGCGGAGTTTCGAAGAAGAATGAAGCAGAATCAAAACATGCTCAAACATAATCGACTGTTAATCTTAAAATCGTCCCCATGCAGTTTGTTCGCTGTGTTCGACTGTTCCTCCTGTAGAAAGACAGGCCCGTCTTAAGCCTAATCCCCCCGAGAAGGCCAAAATGGCCTCCAGGACGGCCCCACGACGCCTCCAAGACGGCCAAAAGCGGCCTTAAGAGAGCCCAAGGTGGTCCCACCCTGTACTCAAAAACTGCCCCAGATGCACCCGCTATGGCCCAAGATCGCGTCAGCATGGCCCAAGACGGCCCAATAGGCCCCCGAAAAGGCTCCAAGAGGACCTCCAGGAGGCCATAATCATTGATTGTCCGAAGGTTGTTCAATTATTTGAGCGATCTCGCCTTTCCAGGCTTCCGACACTCCAAGACGACCCGTTAGGCCTCCAAGATATTCCCGAGACGCCCCAAAAAGTCTCAAGAGGCTCTTTGGAAGGCCCAAGAGGGCCCCAAGACGGCCCAGGAGGCCTGCAAGACGGCCCCAAGACGGCCCCATAGACTTCGAAGACGGCCCAAAGCGCCCAACGAGGGACCCACGACTGCCCAGACAGGACCCCAAGACGGTCTCCGAAAGCTACGAGGTCCCGTGGAGACCCCCAGAGGCCCCCACGAGGTCCCCCAGAGGCCCCAATAGCCCCTTCGAGGCTCCCAAGAGGCTCACATGTAGCTCCCAGGAGACCCAAAGAGGGCCTCAAAAGGCTCGAAACGGGCCTCGAGAGGCCCTCCTCTTCTTCTCCTTCCTCCTCCTCCTCCTCCTCCTCATCCGCCTCCTCTTTCTCTCCCAAGTGTTCCTCCAAGGGGTTCCACAACGGCTGGGGGAACACATCGTCCAGTAGCGTGGCCAGACTTCGGCCAAACATTTGGCCGCGTGGGCAATTCCAGCAAGCAGGGGGCGGCGGCGATGGTTCCCCGTAGGCGTCTTCGATAAAATGACATCTGCAAATGCGTGCTCACTTCAATATTTAATTCGCAGGATGATCTTAAAACACTGACAACAACATTCAATCATCACAACAAAATATAGCATCCACCGCGGGTAACGTGATGAGCCGCCGGAGACTCGCCACGTGCCAGGCACCTGCTCGCAGGAACGGCGCCTCACGTTTTTTCTGGGTAGCGCCCTTGATCAGGTTGCTCAGTAAGAACACCTTCACTTGCCCTCGGTCGCGTAGCCGCAGCTGCTGCCGCTTCCACCTCTGAAGCGGCGGGGGGTCTGCGCTGGATCGACCCGAGAAAACGGCCAGGGGGGGGGGTCGAAGGCAAATCCGCTCAAAATCAATCCAGGGACCCCTCCCAGGGTCGAAACTGACCGCTTTCTCGAGCCGAGCCGCGTCCGACCGTGACGACGAAGGAGCCCCGTTTGTCCCCTTCGGCTGGCCGGAACCGGTGCTGGGCCACCCCAGCCCCCCACTCAGCTCCAACTTCCACCCTTAGGAGGCAGCTTCGTCGGAAGGACTAAGGAAGATTAAGCCCCGTTGGGGGACTGCCACGCCAAACTAGGCCGCGGATCAAGCGCGAGCAAGCGGGATTCAGCGGGAATAAGCCGGATCAAGCGAGATTCGGGCGGATTTCGGACCAGGGCGCAGTCAGAATTTGACCTCCCAGGAGTTACATCCGACCCGCCTGTGTCGTTACCAGGCTTTGAGCACGTCGCACCAGCAGATCGAGCATCGTCTAGAGCAGCCCCACCTGCGCGCGGCTGCCATCGTGTATGCTCGGGGTCCGCCGGGAAAGGACGCGGCTTTGAATCGGTTGCGCATGCATCACTCGAGCCGAGATGGCGACGAACCGTCTCGGGGCCATGTTATGCCGCCTTGGGCCCATCCAGGGCCCTCCTGAGGCGTCTCAGGGGCTCTCGCGGGGCCCTCTTGGGCCTGCTGGGGCCTCACTGGGCGCTTCAAAACGTGCCCAACATCTCCAGAGGGCCCCAAGAGACCCGACGAGAGCCCCAAGAAGAACCAACATGGCCGCAAGAAGGCCAACACGTGACTGCCTGCCAGACCACCCCAACCCAACCCGAAGACCCGAATTCCGGGTTTGGGGGGGTACGGGCTTCATATGTGTGTTTTTGAATGTTCCCCGACCCCCCCAACACTGGAAATGGAGGGCAAACCGGAGCCTTCGGGTTGGGTTGGGGTGGCGTGGTGGGCGGCGAACACGGTCTGAGGGGTGGGGTGGAGGGGGGGCGGGGGAGGGGGGGGGGGGGGGGGGCAAAACGGGCCCGTGCGCTCGGCAGCGCCCCGTGTCGAGACCGCTCATCGGAACACCCCCTAGAAATCCGCCAGCCCCGTCGGCGTGTGAGGGGCGCTGCTCCGTCTGAGTCGTCGTTGTCGCCGTCGCCGCTCCTCTTCTCCGTTTGGGCCGTCGTCGTCGTCGCCATCGCCAACGCTCCCCCCTGTCCTCGGGCCCGTGGGCCCGACCCAGCCAGGACGGAAATCGAGCAACGTCGCGACCGAATCGCAGGTGAGCCCCTTCCCTTTGATCCCTTGTCCTGCCGACGGGCGAAGAGTTTGTTCTCCGGAAAAAGCCTCTTGCAAAATGGGCAGAACTATTCGGAAAGAGTTCCTGCTCCAGGTGGGACCTCATCAGGGATCGTGGGTATGCGGTCGCACGCCAACTTCACAAACCTCAGTGCGAACCCTCAAGGGTTCGACCTGGGTTTCGAGCGACGGTGCTCAAATCCGCGATGATAACTATCTAGAACGATCTCTTCTTGTCACTCTCTCGATATGTGATGAAGCGCTGGTACGGATAAGAAGTACCAGTAGTCGCAGTAGTAGTTGTAGTAGTAGTAGTAGTAGTAGTAGTGGTAGTAGTAGCAGTAGCAGTAGCAGTAGCAGTAGCAGTAGTAGTAGTAGTAGTAGTAGTAGTAGTAGTGGTAGTAGTAGTAGTAGTAGTAGTAGTAGTCGTAGTACTAGTACTAGTAATAATCGTAGTGGCAGAACCGGTAGTAGCAGTAGTAGTAGTAGTAATAGTAGTAGTAGAAGTAGTAGTAGTAACAGAGGTAGTGGTAGTGGTAGTAATAGTAATAGTAGCCATCGTTGTCGTATTCGTAGTCGTAGTGTTAGTAGTAAAAGTAGTAGTAGCAGTCCTAGCAGTAGTAGTAGTAGTAGTAGTAGTCGTCGTAGTCGTAGTCGCAGTACTAGAAATAATGATACAAGTAGGTGCAGTCGTGATCGTGGTACTACTAGTAGTAATAATAATGGTACGAGTTGTAGAGACAGTTGTAGTATTTGAAATTGTGGTAGTAATGAGGGTGATCGGACTAATACCCAAAAAACGTGGACGTAGCAATATTAATAGTAGAAGTCGTAGTAGTAATAGCAGCAGCAGCAGTCGTAGTAATGGTAGTAGTCGCAATGATGGTGGTAGTAGTATATCGCCGTTGTTGTAGTAGTAGTAGTAGCAATACAAACAATATAAGAAGAAACACAAGAAACCGTAGTCGTAGTCGTAGTTGTAGCCCTAAACGTAAACATCAAACATTATCATTAACATAAGAAATAAACCGGTAGAAATAGTAGTCGTAGTAGCAGTCGCAGTACTGCTACTACTACTACAACTGCTACTACTACTACCACTACTACTACGCTACTACTTCTACCACTACAATTATTACTACGCTACTACTTCTACCACTACTATTATTACTATTACTACTACTACTACGACTACTACTACTACGACTACTACTACTACTACTACTACTACTACTACGACTACGACTACTACTACCACTACTACTACTACTAATACTACTACTACTACTACTACTACTACTACTACGACTACTACTACTACTACTACTACTACTACGACTACTACTACTACTACCTACAACTACCACTGCTACTAGCAAGACTACCAATGACTTGGTCGTAAGAGTAGAAGTGAAACAAATGGTGGTCGTAGTAGTACTAGTAGTAGTAGTAGTAATGGTAGTAGTAGCAATCGTCGTGGTGGTGATTGCGATGGTAAAAGAAGTGGTAGTAGCAGTAACCGTAATAATAGTAATAGTAGTAGTAGTAGTAGTAGTAGTAGTAGTAGTAGTAATAGTAGTAATAGTAATAATAGTAGTGCGAATAGTGTGACAAAAAAGTAGTAGTACCAGCAGCAGCAGCAGTCGTAGCAGTAGTATAGTGGTAGTGGTAACAGGTGGTAGTACGAGCAGTAGTAGTAATAGTGGTAGTAGAAGTAATAGTAGTAGTAGTAGTAGAAGTAGTAGTAGTAGTAGTAGTAGTAATAGTAAAAGTTGGAATATTAGTAGTAGTAGTAGTAGTAATAAAAGGGACAGTAGAAATAGTAGGAGTAATTGTAGTAGTAGTAGTAGTAGTAGTCGTAGTAGTAGTAGTAGTAGTAGTAGTAGTAGTAGCAGTCATTGTAGCAATGATAAAATAATAGTCGTAGCAATAATAGCAAGTAACAATCCCAACAGTAGTCGTAATAGTAGTAGTAGTAGTAGTAGTAATAGAAGTAGTAGTAGTAGTAGTAGTAATAGTAGTAGTAGTAGTAGTAGTTGTAGTAGTAGTAGTAGTACTAGTAGTAGTAGTAGTAGTAATAATAGTAGTAGTAGTAGTAGTACTAGTAGTACTAGTAGTAGTAGTAGTAGTAGTAGTAGTAGTAGTAGTAGTAGTAGTAGTAGTAGTAGTAGTAGTGTTAGTCGTAGTCGTCGTCGTCGTAGTACTAGCAGTAATAATAGTAGCAGCAGCAGCAGGAGTAGTAGTAGTAGTTGTTGTTGTAAGAGAAGTAGGTAGGTAGAACGACAGGAAGGTAGGTAGGTTGGTAACAATAAAAATATCAATCGTAGTATGAATACTGGTAGTCAATGGAAATAGGCAACACCCAGACAGGGCCTGAGAAAACCTTTGGAACCCTTTGGAGGGCTCACGGACCAGCACCCAGACCGGGGCCTCAGCAATACATAGGCATCCTGAGGAATCCTTAGGAGACCATAGGAGTCCACAATAATCCATCGAACTCCACCACGAGCCTTGGGAATCCATCGGAAGCTGAAGAAATCCTGTGGAATCTGGGGGGATCCTGGCAACATGTTTTCAAGTCTTCAGAAACCCTCTGGAATTGGGGGATCCTCAAGAATCGATAAGAGAATGCTTAGACATTCTTGGGAATCCTCCAGAACCCTGATGAAATCCTAGGGGGGCTCACGGACCAGCACCTTGACAGGGGCCTCAGCAATCCTTGGAAATTTTTGAATCCATAGGAATCCAAAAGAACAGATCGGAATCTGAAGGAATCCTTCAGAATCCTCAGGAATCTTCCACCAGGATCTTTCGGGACCCTTGGGAATCTCAAGGGCTCTAAATGAATCTCCACGGGTCCGAAGGAAGACTTAGAAAACCTCGGGGATCCTTCAGACTTCTCCGGGATCCGTGGGAATCTTGACGAGGGCGCCGGACCAGCACCGAGGTCGGGGCCTGAGGAATCCTTCGAAATTAATCGGTGATCTTCTGAAGTATTCGGAGGGCTCGCGGACCAGCGTACAAGAATTGTACTTGTACTACTCTACAAATTTCGTACTTACACTTGTCTACGATGGTTGCACTACTACTACTACACAAAGAGTTGCACGTGCACTTCCGAGAGACTTGTACTTGTCCTACCCTACAGGACTTATTATTGCAATACTCGATCAGAGTTGTATGTGTCAAAGGACTCCTGGATATTCGGCAACATCCCCAGCAATTCCAACTGTTTGCTGAAACCCCGTTCTGGACGATGCTCCGTGAGACCTCCTGAAATCCAGGAAAGATTCCTTAGGCCCCGGTCTGGGTGCTGGTCGTGAGCCAACCGAAGGATTCCTCTGGACTCCTTCGGATTCCAAAAGATTCCCGATGATTTTTAAGTATTCGCTCAGATTCCTAAGAGTCCCTGAGGAATATCTGATGTTCTTTAGGATTCATGAATATTTCTGAAGACTCGTGAGAACTCTTGAGGATTCCAAAAGAGGATTCGTACATATTCTTCAGTATCCTGAAGGATTCCTAAGAATTCCGATGGTTGCCCATGGCTCGCGATAACACCAAAATAATACAAGCACAACTGTCGCACACGAGTACAAGCACAACGATCGTAATCAAGTACAAGTATATCAATTCTAGAATCGTACAATTACGATTCATGAAAAAAAGTACACATTCAACTCGTACACCGTACACATACACATCTTGTAGTGTAGTAAGAGTACAACACTGTAAGGCAGTACGAGTATAACTCCTACAAATTAGGACATGTAGAACACGCGTAGAATGGTACAAGTACAACTCTTGTAGCGCAGTGCGCGCGCAACTCTTGTATGATAGCACGCTTACAACTCTCGCAACAAAGTGCACATAGATATCTGGCAAAGTAGTGCAAGTACAAAGTCTTGCAGAATGGTACAAGTACAATTCTTGTGGAGCAATGCAAGTACACCTCTCGCACACCAGTACACTTACCACTCTTGTAGAGCAGTGCAAGTACAGCTCTTGATCACTAGAGCGAGCACAACTCTTATAGACGAGTACAAATGCAGGTCTTGCAGAGTGGTACAAGCACACCTGATGTGTTATAGTACAAATACAATCCTTGTAAACACCCGCACAATACAATTATTGTACGAAAGAGCCCATACAACGCTCGTACACGAGTTCAAGGACAAGTATCGTACACAAGTGCGGGTACAGCTCTTGTATAGTAGTACAAGTACACCTATCGCACAGTAGTACAAGTACAACTCTTGTAGAGTAGTACCCATGCAACGGTTGTAAACTAGTACATATACGTCTCAGTACACATACTACGGTCGCACTTTAATGCAAATACAACGTTTGTACACTAGCACGGAAATGTCGCAGTACACGTACGACGGTCGTACTGTAGCACACGTATAGTTGCCACGGAGGCTGGGCCACCTCAACGGCCCAGCACCCAGACTGGGCCCTCACGGCCCAGCATCCACACCGCGCCTCTCCGAAAACGCTGCTGAAAAAGTGTGCTGGTCAGCAATTGCCATCGAATCCCTTGAATTGTTCAAAAAACTGTTCGGAAGCACGGTTGGAACCCAGCAAAGAACATTTGGAGATTCATACCCAATCTGGATGCTAGGCCGTAAGGCCACGGCCGGTCTTCGTGCTGGGCCGTTGCGTAGTAGTAGTGTTACGAATGACACATCGCACATTCAGTGGTAAAGGAGAAAGCACATGCATGAACACTAAGCAGCAACATACATATAATAAGCAGTAGTTGCAGTAAACAGCAGCACGTGTGCAACATTCATACGGATTAAAGAGAAGGGCGTAGAATTGTAATAAACTGGCAGTAGAAAACGCGAGAATCACTGGAATCGTGGTAGTAGTAGTAGTAGTAGTAGTAGTAGTAGTAGTAGTAGTAGTAGTAGTTGAGCTGTACTCGTAGTTGCAGTAGTAGCAGCCATTGTCGTAGTAGTAGTAGTAGTAGTAGTAGTAGTAGTAGTAGTAATAGTAGTAGTAGTAGTAGTAGTAGTAGTAGTAGTAGTAGTAGTAATCGTCGTCGTGTTCGTCGTCGTCGCAGTCGTAGTCATAATCATAGTCGTAGTAGAAAAGTAGAAGTAAAACTAATAGTAATAGTAGCAGTAGTAATAGTAGCAGTAGTAGTAGTAGTAGTAGTAGTAGTAGTAGTAGTATAGTAGTAGTAGTAGTACTACTACTACTACTACTAAGAATAAGATAATCGTAGTCGTCATCGTGATACAAAACATGGCCACTATGTAATACGGCTCGTGTTCGACACTTCCCGCGACTTAGATGTTGCTTACGCCGCGTTTGGCGTTTCAGGCTTGGCGTTTGGTGTTTGGGGTTTGGTGTTTGAAGTTGAAGGGTTGGTGTTTGGTGTTTGGGGCTTTGTGTTTGGGGCTCTCTACTTGGGGTTGACGGATTGGTTTTTGGGGTTTGGTGTTAGGTGTTGGGGGTTTGGTGCTAGGTGCTCAATGTTTGTGGTCTGTTGTTCGGTGTTTGGGGGTTGGGGCTGGGATGTGGTGTTTGATGTTTGGTGTTTGATGTTTGGTGTTTGGTGTTTGGTGCTTGGTGTACGGGGTTTGTTATTTAGGGTTTGGGTTTGTGGTTTGGGGGGTGGTGTTTGGTGTTTGGTGTTTGGTGTGTGGTGTTTGATGTTTGGGGCTTGGGGTCTGGTGTTTGGGGTTTGGGGTGATGGGGTGTTGTAGTTGCGTTGTTTCTATGGTTTTCCTGGGGGTTCTTGGTAGGCCACCGGAAGAAAAAAACAATTTTCCCAGAGAGAGAACCATTTCCCGGGAGAAATCACATTGTTTGTCCCTGGGTGGGGGTCCCGGGGGGGTCGCTGGGGGGGTCATGGGTGGGCAGTCCCAGGGGGGGCCCAAGATGGCCCATGAAAGCCCAACAGAAGCGCAAGAGGGGGAACAACGACCGAGTCGAAGGGAAGCCCCTCCCCTTTGATCCTTTTCCCGCCAGGGGGTCGAGGGAGGGGGCGCAGGGGGGGGGATCGCCCGGGACGGTCCCAGGAAGGAGTCCGGGGGGGGGGGTCCCGGGAGGGGGGGTCCAGAAGGGGATCCTGGGGGGGTGGTCACGAGGCCGGCAGGGCCCACAAAAGCCCCCACGAGGGCTCGCGAACGTCGTCGTCGCCACCGTCGTCGTGTTCGTCGTTCCCCTCCAGGCTCGGCTGCACTGGCCGCAAGGCCTTCGCAATATCTCCCTTCAGTGCGAGTCGGCAGAATAGCGCAAGCCTCTTGAATTCGCACGTCCACCAGGCTAAAAGGCGCGGGGACTTGGTATCGCAGGTTCCACCAGGAAGTCTCCGCCATTCAGCCGCCCAGTTGTGAGCCAACCCCTTTTCCCAGCAAGGGCTCCAGGTTCTCTTTTGGTGGGCGGGCCGTTGGCCCTAGACCAGAGGGGTGTCGAGCACATGGCGTCGGAAGTGGGCTTAGGTAGGGCATGTCCCCCAACAGGCGGATTTTGGACAAAATATGAAAGATGTTCCAAACATAATGTTTTAACCAAATACCAAAATAGTTGAAAAGTCGTCCCCTGATCACTTGTTATTTGCAGCTTCCTTCTCTAGAGGGACGTGCCCGAACAACCTAGATACGCGCGCGGCTGGCACCTCAGAAGATGGCAGGAATCCAAAACGGATGAAAAATGCAATACGCACACACACACACACACACGTGTATATATATATATATGTATATGTATGTGTATATATATATATATGCATACATACACACATCTGACTGCGCGCGGCCAGGGGCGAAAAGCCACACGGGCGATCCAAAACCACCGTAAAAGATCGTGCACGAGCTTGCCCGGCAGCTGAACCCCCCACCCCACACATACACACACCAAAACAGCCAAAACCAGTTCGGTGCATCCTGTCGGAACCAAGTGCAATGACTTACCCACACAGAAGAGCCGCAGGACCCGATGAGGCCTCCAACCCAGCCTCAGACGTTCCAAACGCACCTTCAAATCACTCGCAAACAACGGGTGGGGCTTTACGGAAGACGCGCAGAGGAGGAGTGGGATGATGAGGAGATAAAGGGATCCGTGCAAGGGAAGACGAAAAGCAGAAGAACAACCACATCGATTGCCCCTCACAAGAGACCCAATGCGGCACATAAGCGACTGACCCTGGACCCTGCCGGCCATCGAGCAACACCTCTCACCTCTCCTTCAGGCCCGTCATCGGTTGGATGAGGCCAGCTTGTGGTCCAAGTGCATCCCCTCTCCTTAGAGGCCTCACTGATGGGGTCCGAGTAGATGGGGTCGGAGGATCGCGCCGCATCGCCGATGCATCGGCGATGCATCGGCGATGCCGGCGACGCCGGCGTGGAGAGAGTATGGCTGCACATCGAGCCACATCGGCGATGCATCGGCGATGCGGCGCGATCCCTCGACCCCATCTTCTCCGACCCCCTCTAGGCGGCCTAGATATCCTCCCGTCCCATCCACTCCACTCCCCCTCC